AGGTGGGAAATGCGGTTCTCATGGGCCCTTGCCAGGGGAACCTGGAGCTCCGCCCGAGCAAGAACAGGGGTTTCCCTCCTTCCCTAGAAGGCAGTGAGTCCTGCGGCTGAGGCCTCCCTCCACTCCTGGGTGGGCGGCTTTTTGGGGACCAGTGCAGCCTGGAGTGAGCCCCTTTGGTGAGCTGGCACCCCTCCCACTGCCCTGCACTCCTCCGGGCAGCTCCATGCCGCTCTGTGCTGTGCTGCTTGGTGGAGACAGCACCTGTGTGCCCACCACTTCTGGGGGAGGTGGGGCTGGTAGAGCTCAGGTCAGGCGGGGGCAGAGAGCAGAGAGCGTGGGGCACAGGACCAGCAGCTACCTCCTCTCTGGCTGCACAACCTGGGACCAGGTGCTCAAAGCTGGCTGTCTCCCGCCCCTCCCCTATAAGAAGGGGTGATGATGGGGCCCTGGGGAGGCACCTTCTGCTGACTAGTGGGACCGTGGGACTCTTGGAGCCTCAACTTCTCCCAGGTGAAACAGGGCCTGTGGCGAGGGTCCAGCGTACTCTGGCTGAGAGTTAGTGCCCATGGCGGCAGGCTGTGTGGTCACAGCTTCCGATGCTCAGGGTCGTCAGGACAGAGCAAGAACCCAGCTCCTCCTGGGAACCCAAACATGCACCATTCTCCAGTGATTCAGGAGCCCCCAGCCCCTGGGTCCCCCAAAGCCTCAGTGTCCCTGTGTTTGCAGAGCGGTACTCACAAACCCACAAGCCTTGGTGTGTGCTGCCAGGCGGGGCTGGGAAGGAGTTCCCTGCTGCCTCCGCCCCAGAGAGCTGGTCTCAGCAGCCAAACAGCCCGGAACAGCCGTGGCAGGCACACAGGGACACACCCCCTGCTTCACTCGAGCACAGAAAACATTCATTAAGCATTTTAGAGGACAAGGGCAAAAAGAAAAACACTCATTAGAAGCAGAAATAGTTTCCAAATGAGCCATACAGAATCTGCTGGGAAGTCTGGCCTGAAATGGGGGCCTGTTCTCAGGGGAGCGGGTGGGGGAGAAGCGTTCAAAAGGATGGAATGTGGGGGCCTGAGAAGGGGACGCAGGAGGAGGCAGTGAGGCTCTGAGCTGAAGCACTAGAAAGCCCCAGACAGGAGAGGCCACGGTTGGCAGGGATGGAGGCCCAGGTTGTCTGGCTCAGCCGTGGAGGAGGGGCTACACCTCCTCCGGCCCCCAGCAAGGCTCAGGGCCCAGGCGGCTACAGAGGTAACCACGTTCAGGCGAAGAAGTCAGGGACAAGAAGTTGGAAGGCCTGATCCCAGCCTGGCTCTGCTGCTGACCACCTAGGTGACGCTGGTCTGGGCCTGCCACCCCTGGGCCTCAGCGTCTATCTAGGAAATGCAGCAGCTGAGTTCTGTGGAGCCTAACTGCCCTGTGAACCATGACACATGAGCCCCCAGTGGTGCTGAGGATGTGACAAGAGGAGGTATGTGAGCTGGCCAGCAGCCATAGCTTCTCAAGATCTCACAGCCAATCCCCCAAAGGCCCTGCCCTGGCTGGAGAAGTGGCCTGAGGTCAAGTCCTCTGGGCCCAGAGCAGCCTGGGGCCTTGAGATGCTGTCCTGGGCAGGTGACCTCACGTGGTGCCACTGGTTGTGAGAATAACATTATGCACCGTGGGCTACACGGGCTTCAGTACACACCACTTCGGGGGAAGGCTCTGGTTCCTTGTCTCCCTGCTCACATCCTAATAAAATATTTATTAGCAATGGAGAGAGAGAGCGAGGGAGCACCCTCTCCTGAAAGCTAGGTCACTTGGAAACTCTAAGTGCCGAGTCAGCTCCTGTCCCCCTCCTCCCTGACCCTCTGCTTCTGGCAGGGGCGGCCGACCTTCATGCCCCAGGTCTGATGTGCTCCCTCATTCCCCTTCCTGGGGTGGCAGGCAGTCTGCAGCAGCACGCTCCCTATCTGGCTGAGGCTCTGTGGGGGAGACAGAGGGATTCACGTCCCTCCCACGGGCAGCTTACAGCCTGGAGAGGAAACCCAGGCCTGGTGGGTAGAGGTCCCTGCTGTGCTCAGTGGCCTTGGGATAAGCAGTATCTGTCTGTGGATCTCAGGGGCAGCAGTGAGCTTGCAGCTGGCTGCCGGCAGGAAAGGCCACTGAGCTGGGACTGCAGTGGGCGGAGCGGTGGGGCTGCTCTTTGAAGAAACTCTCCTTTATCCAAAAGCCCTCCTCCCTCCCTCCCACAAGCCCCCTTCCTTTCAGGAGGGCTCCCTGTGTCCCAGCCAGCCCCGCTCTTCAGAGCAGAGTTGGCACCCTGAGCTGCCTCCTTTCTCAGCTGTCCTCGCGGTCACTGCCCTGACACCTTCACTCCCCACCTAATGCTTTTTTTTTGGTAATTGGTGTCAGAGACAAACTTAGGCCAACATGCGTGTGTGCCAGTGTCTCACGGCTTCTTTCCTATTTAACATCAGAGAAATTAAATCTGGCCACGCCATCATTATCCTGGCGTTGTAATTAGCACCGGAACAAATTGCCCTGAGCGGCGCCGGCTGCTGCTCCCTCTCAGGTTCTGCACAGGACGCACGCCACGCTGACTGCTCTGGCCTTCGCCCCTCACCCTCCTACTGCCCAGCACCGACAGTGGAGCAGGAGCCCCACACCTGTGTGCATTTCCTCCTTGTCACCTGCTCACAGAAACAAGAGAGATACTCAAGGACACAGAAGAGAGGGGATGGAGTGACAATTCTCCCGGATGGGGAGAGAAAATGAAGAGGACCAGATCAGCCCAGAAGAAACCAGATCCCGTGATACTGGCCTTTAGAGAGACTCAGACTCCCCCTCCAGCTGGAAGGTGACAAACCCAGATGCACAGGAATCCCCCCACGTGTGTCTCCAGCATGCAGCGGCCAGCATGGAAGCACCAGGAAGAGAGAGCTGGTCAGAGGGGCAGGATCCCTCCCACTTCTCACCTGGCCCCAGAAATCAGCAGGAGCAGCCGAATCCAAGAAGGACTTGGCTCAAGGGGCCTGAGTGAGTGGGATCCAGTTTGGAGAGCGATGAGCTCAGACCCCATGGCTGCCTGATGGTGTCTGATGCCAGGAAAGTAAATTTAGTGGAATTAAAAAGCCACAAGAGCGTAATGGAATGAGAGGAGGGAGGCAGAGTCGTGGGTGCGGGAGAGCAGGCCTGGAGGCAAGGGAGCATCCTTGAAGAGCAGACAGCTGGGGCTGCTGGAGAGGCTAGCTGGCAGGAAGCTGGCTTCTGGCTCCAACAGGAGGGCAGTGGCCCGGCCAGGTAGAGAGAGCATGCAGAAGAGGTGTTCTGGTGGGGTATGGAAACTAGAAAGGAAAAAAGCCAAAATGGGACCCAGGGGTTGGGAGGCCCAGGAAGGAATTTTCAAGAGCTGCAGGCTGCTCAGGGTGTGCAACCAGGGTGTGACCCTGGGCACACAGGACATGCTCTAACTCCACGAGACCTCTGCTCTCAAGGTGGAGCCCCACACTCCACTCCTGCAGCCAGGGAGAAGAGAAAACACTTTGCCACATGGCGAAATGCCTTTGGTCCATTCTTACTAACAAGACAGGGAAAGTATCACCCCAGGACCATGCTGAAGGTCCCTTTCACAAGGATGCAGGGTGGGGCAATTAGAAAACCAGCTGCGGCCACGCCAACCTCCAAGGGAGACAGACCCCGGGAAACTGACAACAGGCAAGGTGTCAGCGAAGCAGTGTCTTTGCAAATCAGCACATCCTTGGACAGCCTCAGGCGTCATCTGCTAATGAACTTGCTGAACCATAGACAATTATTTCTGGGAACTGAGGGAGAACGGAAAAGCTTGGAGGCGGGGGCCGGACAGAGCTGATGGACGGAGGGCCTTGTCTAGGCAGAGCTTTAGTGTCCACACCAAGGTGGCTCCTGGCCCTATGGACACCTTCCAGGCCACCTTCCCTGGGACCAGTGGCCTCTCTGTGCTCCATGTCATGTGTGGCTCTCTTTCCTCTAAACACATGCCGTGAACATTGAGGGGCTTGCTTTCACATCCGTAGGGCCCATCCCAACCACACCCCCAGGTCAGAGAGATCCCCAAACCACCAGGGCCCAGGCCAACTTAAACAACTATGGATGCAGAAAGTGGGACCCACAGTGGGAAAGGCCAGAGGCAGCAATGCCTGGGTAGAGGCAGCAGGAAGAAGTTGGGGTGATGGCACTGAGCCCACAGGGGTGGGATCTATGGAGAACAGCTGCAAATCAGACAAGCTTTGAAAAGGACCCAGGTCCAGCCTGACTGGATGCATCCCTCAGACCTTCCCACTCACACAGTAACACCTTCTGCTAGGCAAGATGACCAGCAATGACCACCAATTGGCAAGAGGCTGGGTGGCCTCAGCACTGACCCTGGCCTTACTCAGTGAGGCTGTGCACAAACAACATGGACAGAGATCTGGGAGCTAGGTCACCCTTGGAACAATGGCAACTGGGTGGATCCTCCACCCCTTTCTCCATCCCCCTCCACAGCAGCCATCACAAATCAATTACAGAGCTCCTTCCCGCCGAGCCAGTGGCTCCTCTCCCAACAACTGTCCCAATCAATTCAACTGTAACTAGCGTGCCTCCGGAAGCAGACTTTCCACAATGCCAACAACTGACCCAACCACAAGAGAAAATGAATGTGTGGCTGTCAGCCAGCAGGCATCTCACAGTCAGGGGCAGGTTGCTCAGCCTTCTTTCTGTCCTCATCAAAAGGAAACTGAGGCACTCTGGAAACACCTGACAGGGCTTTATTCTCATGGGACAGGCGAGGACTACGCCGCACCAGGTCATCTCCCCTTCCTGGCACCTGACATTGCATCAGGCCAGCCGCACAGCTGGTCTCAGTGCCACACACCAATGTCCCTAGGAAAGCTCATCGGGGCACCTCAGCCCAAAGCCGCCGCACGCAGGAGCCCCACCCCACTCAGCTCCCTCCACGGACCCTTCCCCAGCACCAGAGACGGAAGAAGAATCCAGTCCCAGCCACCTACCTGAAGGAGCCAGTAGCACCTCCGGTGGAAGGTGGGGATGATGGAGGAATGGACATAGCAGCCGTACAAGCACTAGGGAGAGAGGAAAAACGAGAATTCAGTTGGAAAGAGGGAAGGGAGGGAGGAAGACGGCGCAACAGAGAAGGAGCAAGAAAGGGCCACAGACAGTGCCACCGCCCCGGGGAGACTGGCTCCTGGACCAAGACTAAGGTCTGGGGCGGTATCTAAGAAGCACAGTTGGGAGAAGCCAGTGGGCAGACACGAAGGACAGCTGGGGTGCTTGCCCTTGTGGGGGCCTGGGGGTCCGTAAGAACCCAGGAGAGCCAGGCACCAGGGGAGTGCACATATGAGTACATTCACCCATAATGTTAGGGGCTGGGAGTTCCCTGGAGTTCATTCACAGAGCCTAGGTCAAGACCCCTTGGGGTACAGGGATCGACTGAAGGTTACAGAATTGATTCAAACACACTCACACTCCGGACCTTCCCTGGCCAAGGAGAATCCTGCCAGGAGAGGTGGCCCTGGCTGGTGGGAGGTTCAAGACTGGTGGGGCTGGGAGGGGCAGCACCTGCTAGGACTGACCTCCAGAGCCCTTTGTGTGCATCTCCACTTTCTGGGGTTTATTTACAGTTTGTTTATTCATATATTTATTTGTTCTAAGTATAAAACTGCATCTTTTACAGATAGATTTGATTTTAGAAAACAGCCAGAGCCAGGTTGGAGACTAAAGTGGGTATAAGGAATAAGGGGGTGGGAATTCAAGGTCGGGGACGGTGTGTGGGTGGGCTGTGAGGAGGGACACTTGGATCCAGGCGGGTGGAGTTGACCGGTGGGTGGGACAAGTCAGGGTCGGCATGTTGTGGATCTGGGGCGCTGCGTGTACACAGAGCACTGGGCACTGTGGGGCTGGCTTGCTGGCAGAGGTGGAGAAAGGGGGCTAATGAGAAGAGCAGTCAATCAGGTCCCTCTCGAAATCGAATTCTGAGAGTCTGAGTGGGGGGAGGATTTTGCCTTTTCTTTTGTAGTTTCCAATTCCGAATTGGAACGCTGTCCTTCCATCTCCTTCAGAGTTCCCCTGGCTTCCCAAAGCACACGCTCCAGAAGTGGTGGGGCAGAAAGCGAAGGAAGCACCAGCAGAGCCTCAGAGGGCAAAGGATGGGCGAGGGCTTCTGCTGCCCTCTCATTGCTCATTTTCATCTCACCATAGTCCCCCCACCCCAGCCCCAGCTCTGCAGAGAGAAACGGCCAGCAGCTCTGCATTTAAAGCTTTCATTGGATACTTTTTACACCCCCAAAAAGACAAAGTGCAATTTGGTTCAACTAGCAGCCCATTTGAGCCCTGCCTGTCTGATTAGCAGAGTTGAAAGAGAAATCATTTTGGACTATGGGATTCTGGCTGCAAGAAAATCAGATTTCCAATATGTTAGAACTTTTACAGATTGCTGTCAGCTGGGACTTAAGCCCTGTACAAACCAAACAAACAAAGCGGAAATTAATTTAAACGATTCCCCTGCAATTCTTGCCCACGAAATGTATTTATTATTAAGAAGGCAATATTCTTTCCTGACTTTTCTGGTTTTCAATACACTGTGTGTTTCTTAATTTAATTTTTATTTTTGATAACTCGCTCCTTCCTGTTGAAGGAGATTCACGTTGGGACAATTTCTGTAAGTGTTTGGTTGCAATGAATGAGCAACCCACCTACAATCGGCTGGAATTTGCATGTTCTCATGGGCGGCCTCCTTACTTTTACTCAGGCAATGAGCCAAATGGAGGGAGACACAAATTGTTGAGAGAAGTCTCTCCCGTCCCTTTGAATTAAAGGCTTCACGTTGGCTCCTTCCCACTGTTATTCCCCTTGAGAGTTTGCAAAGACTTCCCCTCTTCACCTGTCTCTTTCTCTTTCCACTGCTTTTTCTTGAACTTGAAAAGAACATGGTTGATTTGCAACACCATTTCCCCCTTGATTCACTGCCGACGGGTTTGGGCTGGGCTGCAGCCTCCCTGAACCACATACTAAGGCATCCGGGAGAATTTCCTGAACACCTACTGTGTGTCCCTCTGTGGGAGTGCACAAGAAGAGAGCATGGCCTGCTCCCCCCTGAGCCATCCCAGCACCCCTCTGTCTGGCAACCTTGCCTGCCCAGAACCATCCAATAAGCAGAGTAATGTTTAAAAGAAAAACCGCCCTTTCTACATCAAGGCTCATGCATTTTAATCAGAGGAGCCCTCAGGGCCTCACTCAGAACTAGTTACTCTATTTTTAGACGTTACTCTAACTGCCCTGGTGATCCCACGTCTCTGGTCTCTGCAGGTGAGAAGGAGGATCTTAGGAAGATAAGAGAGAGGCAGGCACACCTTGAGGCAGACCCTCGACGAGAGGCAGCCATGTCAGTGGCATCAGGGAGAAAGGGAGAGCTCCCTAGGGAGCCCCAGGGACTCAAGAAGCCCAAGGGCATTGCAGCCCTCCCTGTGCAGCACACAGGGTCACCCCCAGGGCTCACTTGCCCACCATATTCCCTGGACCAGGAGCTCCTGGAGGGCAGGGAGCCACCTAAGACCTTTTAAATGAAGATGGCCAACAATCCTCCCACCGTAGAAGCCCCAGGACACGGGTCTCTGCAGCCTTGCACAGGAGAGGACTGAAGACGGTAAATATGTAACTTTCACTGTGGTGCTCTGAAGGCTTAGCACTCGGTAACACATACTAGAAAACCATCCTGAAAAATGTCTCTCCATCTAGTGCTCAAAGGGTTAAGCCTCAGTTTCAAGGAAAACTGCCTGGTGTTGAGTAGCTGATTTACAGTCCTTGTGGGGAAAGAGGCTTCTGGTAATCCGCTAATCCGCTCTTGGTGAGCTGGAGTCAGCAAGGAGGGGCTTCTGGAGAGATGGATCCTGCAGGGTGGGAGAACTGCCACTCACCAGCTGGGAGGGTCTTTGTCCCTCTGGGCTGTAAAATGGGCACCGTCCTCCTCCTGTCTCCTGGGTGGCTGTGAGGGCCGATGCCTGTGAAGGGATGCCTGGACAGTCCCTGAACCTGGCGCACGTGCAGTCATGTCAGTCATCGTCACTGGAGCTGGTGGGAGGGGCGCAGTGAGACAGAGCGGGCTGGGCTTGAGGAACTGTAAGGACATTAGGATTGATTGGAGTGTAAAATGCACAGGGACATGGTGAGGGGCAAGGTGGAGGAGACAGAGTGGGTCAGATCACAAAAGGCCATGGGGGGCACAGCAAGGAGTTTGGCTTTACCCAGGGATGGCAAGGAGCAAAGGAACATCATGATCAGATTGCATCTTGGAAGCTCACGGTGGCAGCAGTGTGGCCAGGGAACAGAGCTGAGGACGGCTGGGGGCCCTGGGGCCAGTCCCGTGAGTCCAGGAGGCACGCCGGGACTGAGTGATGACAGGAGCAGAGGGCACAGAGAAGCAGCCATATTTGCCAGGTGTAAGGATGACACTCAGCTTTCTGGCTGCACAGACAGGTGGGTACACAGTGGTCCCCTTCACTGGGACAGGAAACCCTGGGGGTGCAGCAGGCTGGTGGGGAAGAGGCTGATTTCAGACTTCTACTTGGTGGACTTTGAGGAGCTTGTAAGACATCCAAGTGGAAGCACAGAATGCAGTGAGTTGCTGAGATCTGCTGCTAGGTCTGGGTGGAAAGAAGCCATCTGGGGATCGGGGCGCCATCAGCATAGAGATGGAGCTGGAAGCCAAAGGAGAGGCCGGAGTCGGCATCCACTTAGGCTGGTTGCAGTGCAGAGCCGAGCCCTCCAGGTGGACAGAGCAGGTGAGGTGAGAACTTGCCCACACTCACAGCGTGTGACAGGCCAGCCTCACGGTGTGCCCCCGCCGGCGCCCTCTCCTCTTTCATTCACCACACAACCCCAAACCGCCCCTGTGGCCCTGATCCCAGGCTCTCTGGCTGGTTCCCTTTGTCATCCTCGTCCTCACTTCGCAGCTTTTCTGCAGGTTTCCAGCCAGGCTGACAACGTCATCACCAAGCCAATGGGGGATTAATTGCACACTATTTCACGAGGCAACGGCAGTGTATCAAATCCATTCCCTTTATCCACTAATCAAAAAAGCAATCAAGTTTGTCTGCAGCGATCTGAGTTGGACAAACTCCTGGTGTTTTTTGATCAGGCTTGGGGCTCCCCTGGGGCTCCTGGGGTTGAGCTTTCCATTTGGGAGCCGTGATGTGGTTGGAGGGAGAGTCACATCCCAGGGCTGGTGCATACAGCTTGTGTGTGCCTGTGTGAGCATGTGCTGCGTGAGCGCGTGTCGGGGTTGGGGGGATGCAGGAAAGCATGACAAGAGTCCCTTGCTTGTGTGTGTACACAGAGAAAGAAAAGAGGAACCAACTAGCTATTTATAGGAACCTCAGGAGAACTTCACCCTGCAGATGAAAGCAACCTGCAAATTAGTTATATTTGGGGAATTAAGGCCTGACAGCTTCCCTTTAACGTGACAGCTGAGGAAGGAAGAATTTTTTCTTAAATACTCAAAATTGCTTTTATGACACTAAGGGGCTTTTTTTTTTTCTTTCTTAAATTGAAAGGAAAGATAAAATTACAGGAGAAACCAATAGTAAACAAGAGCTCCCTTCAGTTAAAAATAAACCCTTCCCACAATCAAAGGGACGTTTCTGAAGGGCGCATTGGCTGCAAATCTCATCAAACGGATTTCTCCCCAACAGACTCAGCAGCCAAGGGGTCCCGTGGGCCAGAGGGTTCATCAGGGCTCAACACCCGGGGCTCCAGCGGCCAAAGAAAAGCACCTCGGGTGGTGAGCAAGGCTTCATTGGTTAGGACATTGGGTGCTTTCCCTCTCTGTGCGGCTCTCAATGGTTTCGCGTGACCAGCGGATTCTCTCTTTCTCTGTCTCCCTCAGGCACAAGCTCAGCCTTCCTGCCTCCTGTCATCCCTTCCACTCGGTTTCTGCTCTAGAAAATGGGTGACTCATTGTCCTCTGGGAAGACCTGGTGCTTCCCACTTCCACACTTTTCCTCCTCCTGCCCGTCCTGTGCAAACCACTCCCAGCCCAAGTCCACCTCAGGTCCTCTCTCCTCTGGGA